AAGGAGTTTATGCTGGGAGAGGAGAGGTGTGTGCCGTGGACTCAGCAACCAGAGAGAGGGCTGTGAGGGCCAGGGGAGGGTGGGGTGCTGCTGGACCCCTCCGGCAGCCAGGTTCCCCCATAAATAATGTACCAGTCAACCTGAAGCAACCCCATTTCCAGAGAAAGTCCAGGCCAATGCCACTGAGGATGTGTCTCAGCAGCCCCCCAACTCTCACCCCCAGTGACCCGCTCAGAGACCCCCAAGCTGGAGTAGCCTGCTTCTCCCCGACGAGGGGGGTGAGCTTTGCAGTCAACTACCCTGGGGTCAAAACCAAGTGCAGCCACGGACAGCTGGGCCGTCTCAGACAGGTCACTCACCTCTCTGGGTCTCAGTCTCCTCGTCTGTACAATGGTGCAATAACAGGCTGAGGCTTCCACGAGCCGGTGAAGGTCCAGGGCCCAGCTCTAAGGATTAGGTTTCTGTGCTGTCACGCCCTCAATGGCTCACGGGCACCCTCTCTCTGGCATTAAGTGGTTTTTCCGTTGGTGGTAGACAGGCCTCATGCCCCTCTCCCTGGGAGTGCCTTGGGGACAGGGGGCAGTCTCTGCCTCATGCCAGCCTCATGAGACAGCTCCCTCTGACCCCGTGCCTTGTCTAACATGGCCGGGGTGGCTGCTCAACTGATGAGCGAGTACGTGAGAGTTTGCTTGGGTCCAGAGCAGAAGCTCTGCTCCTGTCCTGCTGACCAGAAGACCAGGGCGCCGGGAGGAGGTCCCTGTCCTGCCTGGACCTGAGGGCTGGAGGATGAGGGCCGAGGGCGGTGCTGTGGAGTAAAGGGGACCTTCAGAGAACCTGTGAGTTCCAAAAGAGGGAGCAACAAACTCCTGAGGAGAAGGAGGGTATGACCAGAGTGGGGCAGAATCCAGAAAAGAGGCTGTGATGGGGCCCTGCGAAGGGCAGATTTGGCCTGGGACCCAAGGGGTAGCCCCAGGGCCTGCAGAGACAGGAAAAGGGTGCCTCGAGACAACAGGACAAGGAGCCCAGACCTTGGCCTGCAGGTGGGGAAAAGGAGGCCTAGGAACCTGGGAAACAAAGACACGAGCGTGCCACCTTGGATGCCAGGGCTCACAGGGTGTCTGTCCCACTCTTCACCAGGATGGAACTGCACCCTGGGTACCCTAGCAGCTCCTATCTAGACCAGAGCCTGGCACAGAGCAGGGCCCAAGGAACACTTGTTAAAAGAATGAAAAAGAAGAGATTTTTCTATGAGCCTCTTAACTGGTCTCCGCCTCCTCGAGTCTGCCCTCCTTACAGCCATGTCCAGAAGGCCGCCCCGGGGAGCGAACTCCGACCCCAGCGTCCCAACTCCTAACTGCGGTGCCTCCCCTCCCACCGCAGCCAAAGTCACACACTAATGGCCTGTGAGCCAAATCCGGATCACAGACCTTTCCGCTTTGGGCTACGCCCTGTGTTTTTGTTTTGTTACGTGTTAAATTTGAATTAGTTGCTAACATCTCAAAAGGAAAGTGCCCACATACAAATCTATGTTTCCAGTTTCTCTGAAGAGTCCCGTGGGTGACATATCACACGGGGCCTGCCTACCCACCTGGGACTGTGGCCGGAGTGGCTGGGAGAAGGCCTGCCCTGCCCAGACCAAGCTCTTCCTGCACCTGCATCTTCACCCCGCCCATCCCACCCCGGCCCCTGCAGACAGCAGAGCGTGCAACCCCAGCCCACAGGCTAAAGGCCAAACTCGTCCACCAGGCCCCAAGGTCTCCGGGAAGCGACGCTTGGGATGAGCTTCTCCACCTGTCTGTCCCCACTGTCTTTGTCCCTCAGATTCTGGCCGCATCACTACCTCTAGTTGTCTGCCTCCTTGTGCTCTTTCACGCCCTTGTGTGCTTGCACTAGTGGACCTCAGCCTGTGGTGCCTGTCCCCACCGTGGGGACCCCGCCAATTCCCATCTGGTCTTCATTGTAGGCTCAAGGCCACTTGGTGGTGGAGCCTCCTGCCACCTAGAGCGAACAGCCCCTCTGTGCCACCACAGCAGGGTACCCACAGCCACCCACATGTGGCTCCAGTTCTCTGCATTGCACCCTAGCTGTGGGCTCAGGGCCGTGGGAAACACAGCTCTGTCTCCCCTTATGGCTGGTACCCACAGGCCCAGTCTCAGACCTAGAGTCTCAGGACACTCCTTGAGGGAATGAATTAGAGAGAAGCCCTTGATTTCATGGGTGGCAGCTGCATAAAAAATCCCCAACAGGGGTCGGCCCAGTGGCACAGCAGTTAAGTTTGCATGTTCTGCTTTGGCATCCTGGGTTCACCAGTTTGGATCCCTGGTGTGGACCTATACACACCACTTGTCAAGCTATGCTGTGGCAGGCCATCCCACATATAAAGTAGAGGAAGATGGGCCCAGATGTTAGCTCAGGGCCAGTCATCCTCAGCAAAAAGAGGACGATTGGCGGCAGATGTTAGCTCTGGGCTAATCTTCCTCAAAAAAAAAAAAGAAAAGAAAAATCCCCAAACAACACCAAAGAAATCAAGAAACCTTTGGTTTGTGGCCTTATCAAGGGCTTCATTTTATCACATCTACTTCCAACCCACACACACTGCCCTGCCAGTTCCAGGACAGACTCTTCCTCAATCGGGCCAGCTCCAGAAAAACAAGAAAATGGGACAAATGTTATTTTTGGAGACGTACACACACACGCACACACACACACCACTTACATCAGCCACATGCATGCACGTCCCATGTCCACTACCATCATGCACCTCCTCTCTCACCCCCAGCTGGGGGGGCCATGGCTCTTTCATGTTCCAGGCCTTTCCTGACCCAAATGGCTGTGTCCTGAGCTCTCAGCCAGGCCTACTCCTTGCACCCAGCCTGCTAAATTGATCGTGGAGTTGGACAGCCCAGGCCCAGAGCTAGAGGTAGAGACTGGTATCAAACCTGGGAGTTAAAAGAGACTTCAAGACCCGCCCATTTTACAGATTCAAACAGTTAGCCCAGAGTCGGAGTCCCAGGGGCAGGGCCTAGCCGGGGTGAGGGCGGGCACACCCCCTGACCCGCCCACCCACCCCGGCCCTTCGCCCTTCCCGGAGCCCTGGCACGCCAGGCGACACTTAATCCTCACCGCGGCCAGCCGGCCGGGGCGCTGGGTCCCGCTGGCCCCCTTTGCAGATGTGGAACAGCCCACACAGCCAGCTCCTGAGTGGCAGGGCCAGCTCTGCCCCTCGTCTGCCCAGACCTGGCCTGGAGCCTCCTTCTTCACCACCAAGTTCCGAGAGTCGCCCCTGGGTGACGGGCTTGACAGGGACCCGGAGAGAGGAAACGGAAACTAATACACCTACCCAGTGGTGCCATACACGGAGCTGGCATTCACATTCGCTGTCGTGTAGATTTGTATATTTAATGAGATTATCTTCCCACAGCCAAAAGTAAAATGTCTGGAAGAAGGGGCAGTTTTTTCTCACTGCCTCTGACCCCACTGGGGCCCCAGTGGGCTGATGGAGCCACTGAGACGTTTCCTCCTGGGCCAGTGAAAAGAGGAGACTCAGGCTCCACGGGTGAGTCATTGGCCCAGGGGCATCTCCAGGACAGAACCCAGGTTGGCCTGCCTCTGGCCCTTGCCCCGGCTGTGTGCCCCCCAGCCTCGGGTCTACCCACCAGACAGAGAACAGGCCCAAGCAGTACCCTGGAAGGCTGGGGAGTGTTAGTGGGAGGAGGCAGGGGGACTTCCTCCCTAATAAGCCCAAGGTCTCCTCCCCCAGCCCTGGGGTGGGCACCCTGGGTCAGCAGAGGTGTCAGTCCTCCTGGGCACCGGCCACAGCACTGGGAACCAGGGCTCCAAGGGTGGCAACTCAGTTCTTCTTGGCTGCCTCCGACTCTGCCTCCTGTTGTCCTGGCTACCCTAGCCAAGCCCATTAATCACCTTCACTTGCCAATCCCCCAGGAATGTGGCGGTCTCATAAAAGTCAGCCCTGGGTTAAACAAACAAACCAACCTGGAGGCCTCTAAGTCAGCTGCAGAGGCTCCACCAGGTTTCTGGCCTCTTTCCTCTGCTCGGCACGCAGCACCCCACCCCACCCCTGCTGCACCTACCACCACTGAGATCTCAGAGCCACCCTCCCACACACACCCCAGAACTAGGAGGGAAAGGTGTTATCCAGTGAAACCACCTTTAGATTGGGGAGTGGGTGCCCAGAAGTCTGAAAACTGCCTCCCCCTGCCCAGGGCCTCCCCTCTCCACCTGCTCCCACCCCACCACCATCTGTGGCACCCACTCTTCCTCAGGACTCGCAGGGCATATTTGGCGTCTAGCACCCCACTCCCCAATCCAGGGCTCTGCAAACCACCTTTCATCCTACCCAAACCACCTCTCATCCTAGCCTGTCCCCACCCTCGAGGGAACAGGACGTGGCTCTGGGGAGATTTCCCTATGGAAGTGAAGAGGCCAGAGGAGTTGGGGCCACTGGGAGGCTCTGGGGGTAAGTCTCTTCCTGCCCCCATCCTACCCTCTTCCACCCCCTCCTCAATTCCTAGGACTCAGCACCAGTAAAGTCCCACGGGCCCTCGCCTGGGGGCAGGTTCAGTCCTGCCTCAGGGACTTTCTGCTGAAGGGAAGAGGGACCCACACCCCTAAGTGAATATAAACGAGGGGGAAAATATGCAAACACTCAGCCAACTCACCAGAAGAGAAGAACCCACAGCCGGACAGAGGGATGCACACAGGTGCGGACCACACTGCTGCTCAAGAGAGCGGGCCAATCCAGGGCTGCGGCTCCCAGTGCAGGGCCCAGGACCTCCAGGGTTCCCAAGCCACTTAAAATATTTCAGAAAGCCAACGGACATCCTATATTTAGCCATGGTGAGGCTACTGGGGTTAACAAAAATTCCAAGGCTTTGCATTTGGCTGGAATTACATCAATGCAGAAACACTGGCCATCTTGTGCTGATAAACATTCTAAGGGTCCATGTACAAGTATCAGATTGAGGAAATGGAGAAAGAAGTAATAACTTAGCAACAGCTGTTTAATAAATTTTTTCCAAACATGGAGTTTGTTGGGAAGAAAATAATAATATGGATCGTAGATGTTTATTTCCTTAATATACAAAGAGCTCCTACAAATCAATGAGAAAAAGATGAATAACCCTCCCCCAAAATAATCAAAGGCCAATAACATAGGATTCACAAAAAAAGAAAGGAAAGAAATTCAAACAGCTAATAAATAAAGAAAAGTATGCTCAGCCTCACTCTTAAAGTGATATCATTTTTCACCTATCAAATCAGCAGAGATTTAAAAGTTTGATAATCCCAGTATTGGTGTGCATATAAGGAAATGGGCATTCTCATACATTATTGGGGGAACTTTATATTGTTAGTGTTTTTGGAAGGCAATATGGGAACATATCTTCAAATTTTAGTCAGCTGGCAATTAGCCTACAAATATAGTTGCTCATCTCAGCACTGTTTGTAATGGCAAAAATTGGAAGCAGTCTATAAATATCCTTCTCAAAAGGAACTGGTCATTCAAACCTTTACAATGGACTTGGCAGTCATTACAAAGAATGGGTAGATCTACAGATATCGACAAGAAAAAAATGTCCAAGATATGACATTAAATGAAAAAAAAAGCAAGCTGTAAGATAACATGGTTATAGTATGGTCTCATTTGTATTTTAAAAAAAAGAAAACGCACATAGGGGCTTGTAGCTATATATGCTTGTTTATAAAGGAATAAACAAGAAATCATTAGGAGTGGTTCCCTGGGGAACAGCATGGGGCAAGGGGAAAGGGCACACAGAATGCTTTTGATTTTTATAGGCCCTTCTCTGCTCTTATAGTATTTACCATAATTTTTGTAATTTTTAAATCAATTGTTTTTATTGAGGGATAATTGACATATAACTTTATATTAGTTTGAGGTATACAACACAATGATTGGATATTTGTATAGAAATTGATTTTTAAGGGGTCACTGGCAAGGAAAGGATGGGGGCCCCCAGTTTAGAAGCTCCAGATTATCGCCAAGAATGGGCCATCGGAAGACGAAAGACGAGGCCAGCTGCAGCACGGAGGAGGGGGGCCTGCAGGAGCAGGCGTCTCTTTCATCTGCAAGAAGAGGGCCGTGGAGGGAGGTCTGCCCTCTTGGCACCCCCGTGCCAAATGGAGGCTGAGGAGAGGAACAGACCCTTAAATACCAGCACCAGCCTCGCAGGGGCAGCTGACTCGCCCTGGGGTCTGGCCCAGCCCCTCCTCTGCTCACTCTGCCTCAGGGCCCCTCCTTCTCTCTCTCACCCAGGCCTGGACCAAATCTCTGACCCACAAGAACGGAATTTGCACAAGAACTTTTCTAAAAGGAAAACAGAAAGTGAAAAGGCCAACCAAGAGATGGCTGTTTGAGAACAGGTTTATGACCAGAAGATCTTACAGCTGGGCCAGAGATGCTGGGGCGAAGGGTGGGGTCCTCTGGGAGAGGAGGACTTTTCTGGTCTTTGTGGGATTCCTCCTACCCCCACCTTAACTGCAGTCCTATGGAGGCAGAGTGGGGTCACAGGGCCCTCGACTGTGATGTCAGCTCCTGAGCTTCTTAACAGGGTTGTCACTCTGCTTCCCTGACCCTCAGTATCTTCATCTGTAAAGTGGGGACTGTGGTACCTTGAGGGTAGATGTGAGAAACAGAAATAATACAAACAAACATTACAGCACAATGTTTGCCATATAGCAAGTGGTCATTAAAAAGTATATAGTTAACTAATCTTATTGTGGTAATCATTTTGCAATATATTCACAGATCAATTCATTATGTTGTACACCAGAACTTTAACACAATGTCACATGTCATCATGTCTCAATAAAGCTGGGGTGGATGGAAGCATATATAACTATATCTGTTCACCAACATTCTCCAAACACAGCCTCACCTCCATGCCTTTGCTCAGGTGGGTTCCCCTGTCTGGGATGCCCCTCCTCGTTCTCACAAAATCTTACTCATGTGTCAAGGCCTAGCTCCAGTGTCACCTTTGTCAAGGCTTTGGTAGCCCTGGCTGAGCAGAAGCGTCTCTCCTCCTCAGGGCTTTGGGCGCTCTGTTCGCAGCCCTCCCAGCCCTTCCCGCAGACTCGCGCGGGAGTCCTCTGCCCTATGCACTGGGGGTCCTGGGCCAGGATGCTGTCCTGGCTGGACACTGCCCTTCCATCCTTGTGTCCCTGTCCCGCTGGATCAAGCTTTGTCAAACGCCCACAGGAATGACTCCCCGTAGGGAGGGGAGTGAGCAGGGGAGTGGAACTGCTTTCTCACTAATTGCATTCCGGCATTTGGTTTGATTCCAAAGGGGATGGGGTGCCCTGAGGGGCCCAACTCAGATACCTCCTGATGCTGGGGCTCCCTCCACTGGGAGGGAGGGGCTGGGGCACCAAAGGCAAAGGGGCAGAGCTGGAGAGCTGGCCTGGGGGTGGGTTATGCCCAGGAAGGGTGGATGCCCACCCCCGTGCTGTCCCATCAGGTCACCCAACCTGGCAGCTTCAGGGGCCACACAGTGGCCTTTTGAGGAAAGGAGCCGGCCTGCCCCCCCCCCCCCCCCCCCCCAAGGCTGTGCACAGCTGGCCCCTTCCCACCAAGCCGGGTGCTCCTCCCCACTCCCAGAAGGGCCTCCCCACCCAAGACCTGGGCTAAGGAAACGTCATGGGTAAGTCCTGCCCCCTGCTGGCCTCCAAGGGAATGGCCCTTCAGCTGGCAAGCTGGGGACAGGGGCTGAGAGGAGCTGGGGGGCTGCCTGGCCACACTGTGTGGGATTGATCCAGAAGACAAAGACCTCCCCAGCCCTGGTCTGGATAAAATCCACCCCAGGTCTTTCCCATTGGTCTGTGGGTCTCACCATTCAACCTTACTGGCTCAAGTCGGAACCCCGCGGCCTGGCAAAGCCCTCCAGGACCTGGTTCCAAGGTCCCTTTCCAGACTCACTTCCCACCATTCCCTCCCAAAGCCCCTGGCCTGGGTAAAGCACCTGCTGTTTGTCCTTCGAATACACACCCCTGTGTCCTAACCTCCAGCCTCGCAGGTTCTCCCCGCCTCCAGCAATGCCTTTGCCTCTCCTCTCTGCTTCCAGAGCCAGTACAAGTCTCACCTCCCGGCTGACTCTCAGCTCCAGGCAGCCTCACCCTGCTGAGTCTGTCCTCTACACTCGTTGGCCAGAGTTCAGTCCTGTCCCCTGCCACTTGTGCCCACCCTAGTCCCATCTGCAACCAGACCAAAGGATGGTCACACTGGAACGTGCACAAGCCCAGAGGTTCAGCACAGAGCCCCGCACAGTCGGGGCATGATCAGAGCTGGGTGGGGAAGGTAAGCCATCCTGGCACCTCCTGCTCCCATTCCTTCCACCAGCCGCAAGGCTTTGGGGAGGCTGGCAGGGTCCCTTGGGACGGAGAGGGATGGTCTCAGTTTAATGTGTAGGGCACTGGTCAGCCTCCAGGCTCCGTGTCCTCCCAGAACTAGCATCCAGGAGTCACCGGCTGTCAAGGCGAGTCAGGAAAGGGGGACACCCCCTGACATGCAGCCGGACATAGGAGGAATCTGTGTCCATGGGACGCCGACCCCTCCTCAGACCGTTTCTTTACATCCCCAAGACTCAGTGTCCCCGTTCATGAAATGGCCCTGTTAATACCTACTTTGTAGGATTATCGAAAGGAAAAGAAATAATACCCATTAAGCACATCACACACCTCCTGGCAAAAAGGTGTTCAATAAATGAGAGCCACTATCATGAATGGCAAACATGGAGAAGCTACAAAGTTTCCAGAATCTTCCAAGTCTGCTAGTGTTCCTGACTGGAAGCTGCTTTGGGCCTCTACCCACCACTTTGTCACCAGCTGGATGAGCAAATCCAGGCGGGACACAGATATCCCTGAGCAGCCCAGGCTGGGAGACACAGCTGTCTGGGCCTCTGTCCTTCCCAGGGATGGTGTGCTCTGGATGGACACCACAGCCCACCCCTCCTGACTTCCTGCCTTGCCCTTCAGGACCTTCCCTGGACATGCAGCTTGCTGGTTGGAAGGGCATGGCAAGGGCCTCAGCCTCTGCCCTGTGCCTGCATCCTGGTAATGTCCTCTCCATCACACGGGCTCTCCGTCTCCACTGGACAGCCCAAAGGAGAGAGGTGGGATGGGATCAAAAGGGGTTTTGAGGAGTCAGGGAGCCAATTAGGACTGGACTGCCCAGTTCCCCACTGTAGGGGGAGCTCCCCAATCCCGGGGCCATGCAGGCAAACTCCATCCAGTGAGGTGGCCGCCCTGGCCTCAGTTTCCTCATCTGTAAAACACCAGGCTGGACCTGGCCACCTCTGAGGACCCTCCCACAGGGACTGTCTGATTCGGCCTTCCCTCTCCCGTCTTAGATTCACCTGCTGTCCAGCAGGGGGAGCCCGCACCTCTTCCCAGCCGGCCAGAGCCAGGGCCTGGAGGCTGGCCAAGGGTCAGGAAATGTTCTTCCTACATCCCAGTTGTGCAGGGCATGTGACATGCTTAGTGCTGTGCCTGGCCAGGGCAAGCATGCAATAAGCAGTAATCGTGGTTGTGCCCATTTCAGATCGGGAAACAGATTTAGGAGTTTAATTTGAACCCAGGGGTTCAGGAACTGATGATGATCTGGGAGGCCCCAGGAGGCAACGATACTATCTCTGAGTATCTGAAGGCCTTGTCTTAAAAGAGGGGGCACATTGGGTGGATGTCCCGGGATGCAGGCCTCACACAGGCCGATGGAAGAATGTTCTAACGGTCAGAGCTGGCTGGCTGGAAGAGGGACTGCCTTGGCTGTCTGTGAGCATACTGTCCTAGGGAGTGTTTTAAGGAGTCAGGGTCTAAGGGATGGTGGGTCTCTCTAAGGTCCCCTCCAGCCCAGGGGGCCATGTTCTGAGAGGACTGAAAGGCCAAGCACAGGGGGTGCCTGCCTGGAGTCACAGCGGCCACTGCCCTTCAGGGGGCTTGTTTCCCCCCAGGGCCTCAGGGCTATCTGGACACTGCCTGGGACATGGTCAGCCTCATGGCTGGAGGAGCCTGGGATGCTGTCTGCAGGCCTCTGGATCCCAGTCACAGGCCCAGGAGCAGCCCCTCACTGGCTGTTCCACAGCTGGCCCCTCCCATTCAGGGCTTACTCTGGAATCCAGGGCAGGCCTCCCAGGGCAGGGCCGTCAGTGGCTTGAGTCCTGTGTTCTGTTCATGGGGCCACAACCCCTCCGGCCTGCACACACAGACTAGGCTCATTCCAGGAGCCCTGCAAAGCTGTCTGCTCAGGCCTCTACATGGATGAACATTCCGGGTTGGAGTTGAGAGACTGGGCTCCTGACCCCAGCTGCTGTCCCGTTGCAGAGCAGAGCATGGCAGGAGAAGCTTCTCTGGAAGGACGCTGCCTGTCGGTGGCACAAGCACACACCTTAGGGCACACCCAAGGGACTGAGTGGGGAGGGCAGGAGGCAGGCAGAGGGACAGGTTCTCAGGGCCAAACTGGTCAGGCAGCAGCCTAGCACGAGTCACTTTTGGGCGACACACTTAAGGCAGGACATTGCCAACTGGAGAACAGGGGAGCACTAGTTCCCATGAGAACCTCTGGGGAGACTGTAAAAATTTGGGTTCTGGGACTCCTTCCTGGGCTGGGAATGGGTGGAGTTAGGACCTTGTATTTTTAGCCAGCCTCTGCAGGGATTCCCATGGAGCCAGGCATTTGAGAAACTGCTCTAGAGACCATGATGGCAGCCTGCCTGGGCACCGTGCTATCTGGGTGGTTGAGCAGGCCAGGGAAAGCCTGCCTTGGGAAGAGACGACTTGGAGGTATCGGGTCTACTCTGAGTGGCTCCACAGGGATTGCCGGGAGCAGCAGGAAGGACTTACAGGGAGGCCAACCTGGGGAGCATATTTATGGAGCCGCTCCCCTGCTCCAGACAACGTGACCTACGCTGTCTTATGTAATCCTCACAGTCATCAGCAGCCCTTCCGACAAATGATGAACCTGCAGCTCGAAGAACTCAGGTTCCAAGGCCACACGGCTAAGAGCCAGAGCTGGGGTTCAGACCGAGTGTTTCTGACTCTGAGGCCCTTGCTCGGCACTGCGGAGAGTCAGCGTGGCCTGCATTGCTGGCGGGTTAACGAGCCCCCGGTCACTAGAGGGTCCCAGCAGCAGCTGGACACTGCCGAGGAGAAGCTGGCTTTGTGGAGGCCCAACGACGTGGCATGGGAACCTGTGGTGGGGATGTGAGGGCTGAGAGACCAAGGACAGGCCTCCGGACTCCCCCGCTGGCTCTCCTCCCACCTCACCACCCCCCACACACACCTCTCCCAAGGCTCCAGGAAGGCCAGCAAGGCACATCCAGTGCCTCTCAAGGCCAACCGGGGTGAGGCCTGGCCCCAGCCCAAGACCTGGGTGGCCTCAGTGGGGAGGCCTGAGATTCCTCAGGGTCACAGCCAAGGGCGCATGGCACAAAGGGGAGAGCTGAGCCTTCCCAGGTCCCTTCCAGGCCACTTACCTCACCCTCCAACAGCCACCCCTGTGTAGGACCGAGTTCCAGGGCTGCAGGAGGAGTACCTCTCTGGGGCATTTCTGTCTTGTTTTGTTACTTTAAAAATTCCTATTTGGGTGATGTGGAGTGGGAGCGGAGAGGCACTGATTACAAAAGTAACATGCTCTTTGGGAAAAAGTTGGAAAATATAGAAAAGTGCAAAGAAGAAACCACGTAGGAGTCCCCGCACATCCTAGAGATGACTGACATTGTTTCTTTTCTTCAAGCCAGGCCGTGTAGGTTCACACGGCACTCCTGCCAAGGACGGGCTTGTGATCTGAGACAAACCACTGAACCTCTGGCATCTTGTGCCTGTTTCTTCATAGGTCACTTGGAGATGAAAACTATAGGATTTGCTTCAAATGGCTGTTGTGAGCATTCCACGTAAAGCACTTGGATAGGTGTCTGTCACAGAACAGGTGCTGAATAGATGTTTAGATTCACATGGTGACATTTTTTTCTATGTTTAGATTTTCAAAATTACAATTTTTTTACAAAATTGATATTACCATTTGTAACAAGCCTTTTTCACCTACTAGTACACTATGAACATTTTTTGTACTTAGATTTACATGATTGCAATGTTTTCTTTTTAGATTTATATGATTACAAATTTTGTTTTGATTTTTTTCCATGCTTCCATTTATATGATTTCAATTTCTGTATTTCTTTGTTTATTTCACAAAACTAGGAACTTACGGTATTTACCATCTTGTGGCCTGCCTTTCCCAGTTAATGCTGCATCATGAACTTTCCCCCACATCCTTGACTAGTCTTTTACATGCGGTTTGAATGGATGCATTGTGGTCATCTTGGGCAGTGGATTGAAGTGGGGGCAGGAGCAGAAGTGCAGGATGGAGGCGCTGGTTCAGGCCCCTCCCCTGCATCCCCGCGGCAGTCGGCCAGGCCAGCCCCAGGGAGAGCGGCCCAGGGCATCATCCCTCATGGTGATGGGACAGCCATGAGCTGGGCCCAGGTCAGGCCCCTCCCTTGAGATCACAGAGGGCATACCCTTCCCAGAGGCTGCCCCTTCCTAAGCAGCCCTCCCCAGCCTGGCCAACAGCTCCTCTCCAGCCCGGCTTTCCTGAAAGCCTGCTCTGAATCACAGTCCAAGGTCCAGGCCTCTGGCAAAGGATTTCCAGACTTCCCTGAGGGTCTCTCCTCCAGGGCTGTCTGGGCAAGCGGGGCTGGCTGAATCCAGGCCCCTGGGACCACCTACCTCCTTGGATGAGGGGTGTCATGCAGAATGGAGGGGAGGGAGGAGGTGGCAAGTGTGGGAGTTACCCACTGGATCCAAGGCTGGAGAGAGGCAGAACCAAGGGCACAGAAGTAGGGGGAGGGGTGCTGAGAGCATCTAGTATGATATCCTGCTGCCAGGGACAATGAGGAAGAGATAGGAGAAATAAGCCTGAGCACTGGCTTTGGGTTTGGGGGTTTAGGAGACTGAGGGACTCAGGGTGAGCTAGGCAAATGGGGTCAGTCTGAGATCCCAACCCGTCTTCCCAGTGCCTGGACGGGGTGGTTTCCAGGAGCACCTAAGGCCCAGCCTTCTCTCCTGAAAACTCAAGCCTCTGACACCACACTGGCCCCAAGAATTGACCATATGCCCTCAAATCACCCCTCCCCCAGCCTGCTCCTGCTGCCAGGCCCCTTTCCTTCCTCTGCCTGGGTGGGGAGGGTGAGATGGAAGTGGAGAGCACAACAGAGTCTCCCCAGGGAGGCAGGCTAGAGGCTGTGCGCCCAGGAGCCTCAGCTGGCTTGGGCCGCTTCTCTCCCAATGAGGTCAGCCCTTCCATCTACACTCTGGACCCCATTCTCTGGCACCTTCCCAAAGTCCACTCTTCCAGGATGTCTCCTGTCTCAGCAGTAGCTTATTCCCGCTAGTATACATGCTGCAATGTCTTCCATCATAAACACATTTGAACAAGTTTCCATATCTCACCCCCTGACCCCACAATCCCATTCCCAGCAGAGACTCTTGCACCCACCATCTACACTCACTGTCTCTACCCCCTCGCCCCCTTTTGCTCTTCAACCCTCTCCAACAACTCCAGCCCCCACTGCTCCAGGGGGCTCTGACTCCATCAGGACCACCCATGACCTCACGTGCACAATTACACAGACGATTCTCTCTCTGTGTCTTGTCCCCCACCTCCTAGTAGCACATGACCCAGGTGTCCACTCCTTCCTCCTAGAAACACTCTGCTCTCCTGCTCTCCTGCGATCTCACGGGCTGCCCCTCTGTCTCCTTAGCGGGTCCTCTTCACCTTCCCAATCTCTGAATGTCGGGGTGCTTGGGCTCCATCCTGAGATCCCTTCTCTTGATCTACATACTCTCCCCAGGGGGTCTCCTCCAGCCTCAGGCCTCTTATTATTTGTGTGCTTACAACTGCCAACTACTGACCATTTGTAACTTGCCTTTTCCACCTGATGAACTTTCCCCCATATCACTGAAGAGTCTTTTGCCGCACGGTTTTGAACGGCTGCATCACAGTCACCTCACCCACTGAGCTCCGATTCCAAGCTCCTCCTGCCTTCCTGTTACTTCCACTGAGAGGCCATAGAAACCTCTCTGACTGAAGCCAGCCAAAACGGAACGGAAACTCTTCATTCCTCCCCAGCTCCCAAACCTTCTTTTCTTTTCATTGTCCCCATCTCACCAAGTGTCACCATACCCCACCCAGTTGTCCAAGCCTAAGCCCTGCATCCTCCTGAAGTCCTCTTTCCCTTCACCCCCAATCTAACCCATAGCACATCCCGTCCGCTCCACCTGCACCCCAAGTGTCCATCCGCACGCCCTCCATTGTCCTCCCCCATCACTGGAGTAGCTGCTCTCTGGTCTCCTGAGCCCACCCCCACTCCCACCACAACCCTTCTCCCCACCACATCAGAGGCATTTGTCTAAAATGCAAATCAGGTCATGCCCCTCCTCTGCTTAAAACCCTCCAGTGTCTTCCTATTGCCCTTGGAATAAAAGCCAGACTCCTAGCTGTGGTCTGCAGAGCCCAGTGGTGTGGGCTGGGCTGCCCACTCTGCCCCTCCCTGCCCCTCTCCCTCACTCACTCCACTCGTCACCTTGGCTTCCTTCCCAGCTGCAGGACTTTGTCCTGCTTACCTGAGTGTTTCACACAACTGGCTCCTTCATTCCTCTCAGCTCAGGTCTTCTCCAATTACATGCATCCAAAGTATCCTCCCAAGCTTATGCCCTCAGTCACGCTACCCTGTGGATTTCTTTCCTGTCACTCATCAGGGCTCTGATTACCTTTACATTTGTTTGTTTCTTCTACCTCTGGAATGTAAGCTCCAAGGGTTGAGATGTCATCTCTCTTGTTTACTTCTCTGTCTGGCTCATAGAAGCAAATTTCCCCCACGTGCCAAGACTGGGGCCAGCAGCACAGAGATGGGGCCTGTGTCTGTGACTCCCCAGCAGTCCCAGGGCCAGGCGTCAGCCCCTAGCCATGACCACCATTGCTCAGGGCCCAGCCCCAGTCTGACATCAACGCCATGCCTCGTCCATGCAGTGTACCAGCAAGAGCTCTCTGGCTGGATCCTGCCCTGGCGTCTTGTTCCTCGAGCCTGAGGTACTCCTAGCTGGCACCCCATCCGTGGAGGTCTTTCAGCCACAAGCAGGCCTCTCTCCCCAAATACCAGAGCCCTGCCCTGCCTCTCACTGCCCTTCCTAAAAGCAGAGCCCCCTTTCCCTAGAGCCCTTCAGAGTTCCCAGCTCTGACCTGGGCCTGCTCTGGAGTCTCTGAGAGGTCCAGGCCCGCTTCCTGGGCCGGCCAGGGTGACCTGGAGGGGCTCCTTGGCCTCTTCTGCCTAAACCTGTGCACCTGAATCTGTCCCTACACTCCACCCCTCAGCAGCCTCTCTCTATACCCTGAGAACCAGCAAGTGGCAGGGCCTTCCCATGTGTCAGCGGACCAGCAACATCCTTGTCACACGTTTGTGCAAAACCATCCAGTGACCACATTCACGGCCAGGTGTTGAAGACACACATATCCCCTGCTCCCTGCTAACACCTCCCGGCCGCATGCACACACACGGCTCATGCTCTGGCCATACTCAACTTCTCATCACAGCGTTTCACCCACCCATCCAGCAGGATCGCCACTCCCTCGGCCTGGCGTTCCCTCTTGGCTGTACTCCAACGTGCTTGTTAAGAGCCTGCCCCAGCATTCCCTCCTCTGAGAAGTCTTCCCTGATGCACCCAAGCAGAGTATGGTCCTTTGCGCCTGGGATGATGCACATACTTGTTCACAAGTCCTTCTCTCCTCTAGACTGTGGCAACAAGTCTATCCTAGGTCCTCCAGGATCCTAGTCTGATGAGGACGTGCCCCTCCTCGTGACGCATGCAGTAATGGAGGGACATGTGTACAAGATGTCTTGGAGCTGAGGGCCAGAGTCCCCACCAGCCCTGGGCAGCGGCAAGGCTTCCAGAGGAGGCAGCGCTGACATGTGGACGTGAAGGCATAGTGGGTGTTTCCCACAGACCAGGAAGGGATGGGCATTCCAGGCAGAGAGAACGGCAGGTAGCCAGGAGCAGAGGCACGACTCGACTCGTCCAGGAATCACAAGTCATTCTCTAAGCTGAGTGTAAAGTGCAAGGGGCGGGGAGTGGGGGAGATAAGGCCGGACGCAGAGGCTGGAGCCTCATATCGTGAAGCTCCTATTCCAATAAATAGGAAATATGGTGCTATTTGCTACATTTGGATAAGTGTGACTCCAACTCTCTCATCTGTCCACAATTTCACCTGCTGCTGCTGACGAATTTATCAAGGTGCAGGGACAAAACGATACCAAAAGAGGGCCTAGTCCCAGTTTAATAAAGAATGTAATATTGAAAGCTTTTTGTAAGGAATTCTTTCTAAACCTTTTGGAATCTAATTCTTGAGACTTCTAGGTTTCCTAGAGTTAATAAGAATTTATCCACTCCTCTGACTTCAATAAATTGTTAAATATCTTCAAAGTTTTAATAAATTTATGAATTTTTTTAATGCCATGATAAGGAGTGGGGATTTTATCTTAAGAGCAGTGGGGAGTCAGTGATGGGTTTTAGACAGAGGAGGGGATGATCGAATTTCTAGTTAAGGAAGCTCCCCTGTCCGCAAGGAGGAGGGAGGGCCACTGAGAACAAGACCAGAGGCAGGGAGGTTGGGCGGTGCCCACACGGGCACAGGCCGACAATCTCTCAAGGGTCTGCGCTCAGGCCGCAGCAGTGGGCCGGGAGGAGGGCGGGGGCTGTAGGAACTTGCTAAGGAGGTGAGACTCACAGGACGGGTGATAGGCTGGGTGTGGGGGCAGAGGAAAGACCCTGGGATGGTCCCAGGCCCCTGCTTGGATGCTTGGCCGGGTGTTGGTGCCTTCACTGATCTGGGGACATGGGAAGAGAGGCTGGATTATTTGCAGGGAGATACTGAACTCAGGCTGAGTTCCAAGGTCTCTCTTAGCGTCTAGCACAGTGCCTGGTAGACAGGAAGCCCTCAGTATATAGCTATGGAGGAAATGAATGAGTGAATGAAGGAACGAATGAGGTCCCACAGCCTTCATAGCCTCACAATTCAAGCAGCTGCCCTCTGAGTCCCTACCTCCTTCCGCTCCCACCTGAGTCCTGGCTGCTGGTGCCCCAGCCACGATTACTTTGCCAAAGAATTGCTCTGGCACTGGGAGGTTTCTTCGTGCAAAAAGCATCAGTTATGGCCCCCAAGTCCCCAGGGGTGGGTGGCCTGGTCTCTTGATCCTTCCTAATGCCCCCCCTCCCTGGGTGGCTCCACTCTAGCCGACATCCACAATGCCTGGCACTGAAGAAGCCCAAGGCCCAGCCCCGCCCAGGCTGCAAAGGGTCCCTGTCCGAGGAGACTCACACCACTCCCAGGGCCACCTCTACAGGGCACTGCAGAGTGCAAGATGCCGAGGATGCCAGGTGATGCTCCTTGTTTCTCTGACTGAAGAGTTCACAGGGATCTCTGCGGGGATGCACTCCTTCCTCAGCCCCTGCCCCCACATCCCGTGAGAGTGCCTGCCATGCTCACACCGATGTAGGAGAGGCCTGTGGGCAGGATGGGCCTGGGCAGGAACACAGCATCTGTTGGGAACCTGGGCCAGGGATGGGGGTGGAATGTGGCTATAGCCTTGACGAAGCTACGGCTGGGACTGGGAGAGACAACTAAGGACAGGCCATCCTGTCTTGAAAGAAGCTGAAGGACCAACAGGCTGAGACCCAGGGAACAGAACAGCCAAGTCAGGAGGGCAGGCTCCCATAAGGCCATGGCCAGGGGCTGGCCCAGCAGGCACCCGATCCCTGGGCCCCTAAAGCTGGCTGCCCTATGGACTCTCACAGAGGGGAAGACCCCTGGCCAGGTGCAACTCCCTGGACTCCCTGCCATTCAGGGCAGTGTTGGTTGGCATGGGGGCAGGCAAGCAAGATCCCAAGATCTCCTGGGATGGCCCCAGCAAAGCCAAAGATGGAGGTGCAGGATGCAGGCTCCACTCCCAGACCACAGGACTCTCCATCACAGATCCTAACACCCACCGGGGCCCCAACCCCCTGCCCCACGAGATCCACCACCACACTGGCATTTCCCTCCCTCATTAGACTGTGAGCTTCCAGAGGGGAGGCAGCCCAGCCCACCCTGGGACCGAGGAAGGTTGTTAAATAAAATGAAGCACAGGGACTGGGTAGGTTCATGAGTACGGAAAGAGGCAGGCCTCAGTTTCCCCCTCTTTGCAGAAGTCAGCCAGGCATCCACCAGAGGTCTGGGGGCATGGGGCAGGGTGGAAGAGAGTGGAAGAGCAAGAATTGGGGGAGAGGGCTCCCTGCTGGGAGGGAAGGGACAGAAGAAAGGACATAAAGAGGCAGGCCCTGCCAGAAAGAAATCTCAGCCCTCCACATAACACCTGTGAGGGTCCCAGTCCCATCCCCATCTGCTCCCACAGATCCATGTCTTGCTCACAGGCACCAGCTGGGCACAAACGATCACGCACCCACATGTGCAGCACACGCACACACACAGGCACACGTGCCAGCCCAGAGCTTCCCCCAAGCCTGGGGTCCACCTCCAGCCACCTGGCCCCTGACCAGAGCAACCAGACTCTCCAGGGCTATGGGTGCCCTCTCACCCTGTCCCAGCCCTAGAGCCTGATGCTGACCTGGAACCCCAAAGGAGATACCCAAAGGCAGAGGGGCGAGGGAGCCACACCATAAAGCCAGAGGAAAGCAGAGGAGGAAGCTGGGAGGCAGTGTCTCTGGCTAAGCTTGGGACACCTGTCAGCACAGGCACTGCCATGGGTCCAGGCTTTGGTGTCAGGCGAGTTGCGGCCTAGGAGGCCTCCCCACTCACCAAAGTCCAAAGAGCACAGGTGTGGCCGCCTTGTGGCGTCATCTCCATAAGGCCTGCCTGCTCGCCCAGGGCCCGCCTGATCACAGGGGCTCTGCCTGTGGCCGCTAGCAGAGAAGCTACTGGCCTCCCACCACCAGCACCAGACCACCAGCTCAAACACCCGCCCCTCGGGGGCAACAGCCAGCCGGCCTCGCTGGAACCAGGTAAGGGCCTGATCCTCAGGAAGATTAGGGCCCAGCCCAACCGCAGGGGACCCCAGGGCTGTGGGGGCAACTCAGTGGCTTCCCAGGCCAGGGTCTCCAGCCCATTCCCAGATGCAGCCAGGAGGAGCAACCTCAAGAAGGCCTGGGACTGAGGCGCTGGCCGGGAAGCAGGACCGGGGAGCCAGGGTCCAGAAGCATCTGGGCTGCTTCTCCGAGGGTCGGGATGCAGACACCCCTTCCCTGCTTCAAGCCACTAAATTCAGGGGATAAATGGGGGAAACTGCCCCTGCCCCAGGGGGAAGGCAGGCCAAACCCAGCCCCCTCCCTGCCTCGACTTGCCCACGGGGACCCACAGGGACCATCCTGGCCTGGGGGACTTCAGGAGCAGGGCTGACCACAGCCGAGCTCACTTTCTCTCCTTTCTCTTCCGTGTCTAGAAGCAGGAAGTGCTGTAGCCTGGGGGGAGCTGGGGAGACAGGGAGCAGGTTTCTAGCACCCTTACCCTTGGAGAGGAAAGGGGTCCCTCAAACAAGGCAAATAGAGCACCAGCCACCTCCTCCACAATCCCTTAGATGTTTACTAGCAACTGACCTCCCCATCACTGAGTCATCTTATGAGATCCTCTGTTATTTTCATAACACTGCTAATAAATGGGTGTGGGCCACTGTCTTATACTTTGCCCAGGGTATTCCAGGGTTTCTGTACAACTCAGGTGCACCACATAGAGGCATGGATGCCCACAAAACTCACATCCTATTCATGATATAGACACACCTCATTCAAATAACACATACCCTTGATCCACAAGTTCAGTTAGCTCCCGCCCTGGCCCTGCACACACATACGCACCACATTGACCTCCATCCCATTTCAACATATTCTAGACCCCTCTGTGCCGAGAAGGCGCTGGGGAGATGGGGTGGCAGGTCTGTCCTCAGGAGGTCACAGCCCAGTGACAGTGTTATATACATATAACATATGTAAACAGTTAAAGCATGGAGTTGGCAGCCAGACTGGGCAGGTTCGGTCTCCATTAAATACTTACTTGTGACCTCAGGCGAGGTCCCTCTTTGAGCCTCAGCATCCTCATCTGGTAAATGGGCTAATAACAGTATCCACCTGGCGAAGTTGTTTCCAGGATTAAATGAGAAGGTAACATCCATGGAACAGCGCTCAGCACAGACAGCCAAGGAAGAATGAGCGAAGGTAGTGAAAATTAAAGGAGGGGCTTGCACCAGGCTCACAGCACTAACCAGGGGGCTGTCCTTAGGGAGGAACGCACAAGGTTCTGCATGGCATTAGGAGGCCACTCTGGGCAGGGTAGGGTGTGGTGATCAAGGAGGGCTTCACTGAAGAGGTGATACTTGAGCTGGAATGTAAAGTGTTGGGTGAGGAGGGGCTCTGGGCAGAGGGTTCAGAGTATGGAAAGACAAAGAGACAGGAGACTTGGTCAGACATTCAGGGAAGTGCAGATCACTGACAAATCCTACAGAGCCCCATCATAAACGTGCGTACACACATGCACGTGCACACGCACACACACCTCTCCTGAGCGGGTCCCCACTTTTGGAGCCAATATTGGCCTCCTTTCCGTGGCAGAATGGAAACAGGTTTGGACAAGAGGCTACTTTGGCAGGGAAGGCTGCTGAACCTAACAGCATCCCTCCAAGAGCTGGGTGTAGCCCATCCATCTGGCATCTTTCACACTCAAGCTCAGGGCGGGACCTGGTCCCAGGTGCCTGGCCACACAGCTTTCCTGGGACCATCGGAATGCACTTTATTGACCAAATAATGGGAAGCTGGAGGCTGCCTTGGGGCCTCCCAGGCCCAGCCAGGATGGAGGGCTCCTCAGTGGAGCACAGGGCTGGAGATGGCTCCAGAAAGGCCCCTGGAATGGGGGGCTTTGGGTCTGGTCCCACGTGCTCCAGATCACAGCCTGGTCCAAGCCTCAGGCCCGGGTCAGGTAAGAGCTGCAACAGCGGCTCTCCGGCCCTCTCCGCCCTCGTGTTCCTCTCCCCACCTTTGATGGCTGTCTCTTTGGTTCACTTCGGGTTCTAGAGAGTCATCTCAGCCGCGTCAACATGTCCCGGCCCAGCAGCAGAGCCATTTACCGTAAGCTCTCTCTCCAGTCCCCTCTCCCCTTCCCTCCTGCTGAGCTCCCTGAACCCCCTGCCCTCCAGTCTCTCTCTCCCCACGCTGACCACCCCCTGTAGTTGCATATGTCTCACCTCTTCGCTTTGTCCCCCTGCAGTGCAGCGGAAGGAGTACTCCCAGAACCTCGCCTCAGAGCCCACCCTCCTGCAGCACAGGGTGGAGGTGTGTAACCCTGGGGCCCCAGTTTCCTGATTCAACCTAAGTTTTCCCACGTGCCTACAGCCCTGCCAAAAAACAGACATCTCAGACAATTCCCTGCCACGGAAGCAGCAGCCCAACGCAGCCCGATTCAGTGGCTCAGGTCCAACAAGCCTGAGCATCTGCTAAGTGCAGAGGAGGAAGATGGGGCAGCTGGGTGTCGGCTAGGGAGGCTGGGCTGGAGGTTGAGCCGGTGGATGTCCTGTCCCCAGGCAGGAACAAATAGTGGAGGGAGGGTCAGGAAGCATCTGTAACCACCCCATCCCATCTCCCAACCCTCCCCCCGGCCTTGCCATACTGGTCTCTAGGGAACTGCTCTTTGCCCAGGATCTGGCATGGCCAGAGGAAGGAATGTGTGAGGTCACCAATCCCTGTGAGGACTTGAAAGGGACACTATCGGAGATGGGAGGTGTCTGGGCTTGAGCTCCCAGGATGGGCGTGAGCTGCTTGGAGGCTGGAATGAGTCTCCGGCCCTGCCTAGGAGGACGACACTGGCACTGCAAGATCCAGTTGCCTGAAGGGCGATCCACACCACAGTGAAAGTACACGCTAGAAGAGTGGGGGTGGGCGGGTGCCCTGCTCAGGCCGAAGCACCTGGGTGGAAACTGTCCCCGGGCAGCAGCAGATATAGGGCCCTCCTGGAGAGGAAACATGGAGGGACACTGGGGTCTGGAGTCTCCAGAGGGCAGCAGAGCTAGGGCTCCGCCAGCGAGCTGGGTTGAGACCAGGGGGTCTAGGCTTCACAGCAGGGTGGGGTTGGGAAGTGGCTTCACTTAGGCCCAGCAGGCGAGAGCAAGAGGAGGCATGTCCAGGATGCCAGGGAGTTTGCTCATGATGTCAAGGTCCGCTGAACGTGTGAGCAGTGTGAACACCTGAAGAGGAGCTGGGAGCCATGCAGACACAAGGTGGTGGGATCAAGGGGCAGGAAGCAGATGGCATCCCCTAGCAAGGGCCTGCAGAGGAGGCAGGGGCCAGGTGCTGACTTGAGAAGGTGCGTTTGGATGGGAGAAGGGAGGGGTCTCTTGCAGGAGGGAGAATTACAGCAAAAACCTGCCGAAATGATCACACTGGTGGTGGGTAAGGGCCTGAGCGGAAACCGATATCACTGTGGACCTCTCTGGGCTAGAGTCAGGGAGAAGATGGGGCTTGATCTTCTTCCTGAGAGCCTAGGAGGTGATGGACTAGCAGAGGTGGGAAAGGCATTCTGGGTACAGGGAAGAGCATGAGCAAAGGCATGGAGACAGGAGTGCTAGGTCAGTGAGAAGGACCAGGTTGGGATCGTGGGTTCCCAAAGTGGGCAAAGGAAGCCAGGGACAGAATTTGAGGGTCCGACATCCCACCCAGAGGAGTGCAGGCTTTATTTGTTGGGTGGTTGGAGCCCACAGCTACCACTATGCAGCTCCCTCACCTGGCCTGGAATGTCAAAGGCCATGACTGTCCTTCCTTCAAAGTCCTAAACCACCTCGTGCAGCCCGTCAGATCAAGATTCAAAGGCTCTATCGAGCCCAACCAACTGCTTCCAGCCCTCACATTGGCCCTTGAAGGCTACTCCAAGGGGATTGCCTAGGACCTCCCCTACATGGAGGCCAAGGACACATCTTCCTCCTCTGCTGACTTACCCCCACCACCCATCCCCACTCACCACCACCTGTGCTCCCCCTCTCCAAACCTTCTCCCCGTCCTGGTCTCCTCCTCTCCCCTCAGCACCTGATGACTTGTAAGCTGGGGGCTCAGAGAGTCCGGGAGCCCAAGGATGCTCTGCAGAAGCTGCAAGAGATGGATGCTCAGGGCCGGGTGTGGAGCCAGGACTTGTTCCTGCAGGTCAAAGATGGCTGGCTCCAGCTGCTGGACATCGAGACCAAGGTCAGCTGTCCCACCATACCCTGCAATGGGTCATAGCTAACCTAGGCTGTGGAAAAGAAGGCATTGGCTCTTGAACTCCACCCCTCCATATATAATATATACCTGAGCCCAGAAAGAGACCAGGGACAGGCTAGGGATCAGGGGAGATAACACCCCATCCCAGGCCACTAGGAGTGCTAAGTCAACTCAGGTCAGGAGCTCCTAGGAGCCACCCTGGCTCTCAGTGGCCCTCATAGTCGATGTCTCTGCCTGGCCCAGGAGGAACTGGACTCTTATCACCTGGACAGCATCCAGGCCATGGACGTGGCACTCAACACCTGCTCCTACAACTCTGTCCTGTCCATCACCGTGCAGGAGTCAGGCCTGCCAGGCACCAGCACTCTGCTCTTCCAGTGTCAGGAAGTGGGGGTAAGAGGCCGTGGGTGGGGTTGGGGAGAGAGTAGGTGCAGGGTCCAACAGCTATCACACACACACACATACACGCACGCGCACGTGCACACACACACACACACACACACAATTGTCTGATTGCTGCTTCCTCCAGGCAGAGCAGCTGAGGACGAGCCTGCAGAAGGCCCTGGATGAGGAACTAGAGCAAAGGTAGGTAGCCTCAGCCCCAGCCCAGCTGCAGGACCTCAGAGCTCAGGCCTGAGTGGGCTCAAACCATAGCTGGGGGAGCCCAGGTGTCTGTGGCCCAACCAACCTGGGTCTGGAACTGGGGAGGGGCCAGGCTGGGACTAGGGTGCAGATGGGCACTGGGAAGGGTCTGGAGCTAGGCCCAGGGAACACTGGAGACTGTCCCCAGAGACTGACATGGGACTGAGAGGGCGCTAGGGCAGGCAGCTGAGGCAGGGTGGAGACACAGGAGGGACTAGATGGAGACCAGGGAGCGGGAGGGTGACAGGGAGGGGCTCCTGGAGAGAGGTGGCAGTGCCCCTGGGTCCTGGGGCAGCAGTGTGGGCAGGGCCTCTGTCCCAAGAACCCTGTTAAAGCTGTGTCCCCACCATGTGCTCAGCAGACCCCGATTTGGAGCCCTTCGCTCAAGCCAGGACAAATGGAGGGGGTCTCCTCTGGAAAGGCCACTCCCTAAGGAGCAGGTACCCCCACTGGAGCGGGGGCCCCCTCCAGAACAGCCCCACTGGATGACCCCAGAGTACAGTAAGTGTGGGGTGTGGGGGCAAGTGGGAGGAGAAGGTTTAGATCAAAGTTCAAAGAGGCTCTGGGCCATGGTCCCCTTATACTGCAGGCATACCACAGTCCCCAAGGGCCCTGACACGCCACTCCAGTGCCCGCGAACCAAGCACCTTCGCTCTGCCTCCTCCCATGCGACCCCCATCCCCCGAGGACCTGGAGAGGGATGAGGTAACTACAGGTTGTCTTGGGTTTGCTGAGGTTTTCCGGGCCTGGCTGAAGGGAGGACACCAACCTCCCCATGCCCCCTAGAGGCCAAGTGCCAGAATGGCCAAGGCTGGCCCTGGACTGAGGAGGGACAGGGAGGGTTGGGCAGCCCCTGGACTGGGCCTGAGGCTCGGCTCGTGGTGGGCAGGGGCAGAGTTGGGAGTTCCAGGGTGGGCCTAACTGCCCACTCAAGGCCACAGTTGTTTGGGGTCCAGGAGGTGCTGAGCCACGTGCTAAGGGATATCGAGCTGTTCGTAGAAAAGCTGAAGGAGGCCCAGGCAAAGATCAGTGGTAAGAAGAAGAAGAGACTGGGGAAGAAAAAGAAAAAGGATCAGGGGGGTGAGTGCTGAGGGCCGGGGGGGAGGAGTTGCAGGGGCAGGGTCTTGGGATGATCCGTGACCCACCACCTTCTCCCCTTCTCCCATAGGGATGACACAAGCACAGTACATCGATTGCTTCCAGAAGATCAAGTACAGCTTCAACCTCCTGGTGTGTGATTCCCTACAAGTTCCCCAGCCCTCTCCCCTCTTCCTTTCCCGCTACCCCTACCCCCGCCCCCCCGGCACCGGAAACCACCTCCTCTTTGGTCTCATAGACATCACAAGACTTTTCCTTCTCCAGCTTCTTCCCCAGAACCTCCACCTACCCCCGTATGACTTTTGGAGAGTGCCAGGCTCCCAAACAAGCCTGGGACCCTGGGGCTCTGGTGAAGGTGGGGCGGGATGATGGGTGGTGACATGCATCACCCTGTGTCCCTAGGGGAAGCTGGCTATCAGACTGCAGGAGACAAGTGCCCCTGAGTTCATACACATCCTCTTCCAAACTCTGGACTTCGTGAGTTGGGGGAGGACAGGGTGGTGAAGAGGGACAGGGTGGAAGGCAGGGAGCAGAGGGAGGTTGTGGGCTCTGCCATTTGCTCACCCCTACACACCCTCGTCCTTGAACCCAAGGCCCCACCCTGCTGTGCACAGCACTGGTCAGCAGACTAGAGGGCCTAGGGTCGGAGTCAAGGATACCAGGGCTCTAAGGCAGATGGGAAGGAGAGCGGGCCTGCGGCAACGTGGCATTGCAAAAGTGGGAAGTCGGGGACTCCGGGCCCTTTCCCACTCGCATTTGGTCCCGTGGGAGCCTCGAATTCCTGACACCTTCCATCCCTCCCCTAGATCCTGGCCCAGTGCCCTCAGCCTGGCCTAGCAGCGCAAGTGATCTCACCCCTCCTCACCCCTAAAGCCATCGACCTGCTGCAGTCCTGTCTGAGCTCACCTGAGAATGACCTCTGGAAGGGACTGGGTGTGGCCTGGACTACCAGCCGGTGAGTGAAGACAAGCCGTGAACCGAATCATGGTAAGGGGCATGGGGGCATAAGGCAGGACATTGGAGGTGGCCAGGCTCTACGTTGTCACAAACCAGAAATGTCTCAAAAAAATTGGGGGACTCTAATGGAATTCTCTAACTTTGTATTAGACTAAACAAACAATTTCTTTACAAAACCACCACTTATCATCACCCACCACCAAAGGAAAAGCATTATCTCAGAAAAAAGAACAATTCTTCCCAAGAAAGGAGAGCTGGCAACCTTCCATTACAATATTTTCTCATTTTTGTCAAGGGCAAAGTGAAAACTTTGTCTCAATCCAGCCCGGAATTTAAGAACTACTGATGTAAGAGATGCTGCAAATGTAGTATCAGTAAGACTTGGCAACCAATGGACCGAGGAGATAAGAGGGAAAGAGATATTCCATGGTGGTCGAACCGTGAGACCGGCAGCTGGACAACAAAGCCAAACCGATGAGAGCCGTGGGGGTGGGGATGAAACCAGCTTGGATGTGCTGAGCTGAGGTGTCAGTGGAACATTCCACAGACACAAGATGGCCGGGCCCTCACGTGAGAGGCCGTATGGGTTTGAGGGCAGTCAGCACAGAAGTGGTAGCTGGAGCCTAAAGGAAAGCGCTCTGTGGGGGAGGCCCAGAACTCACTTTAACAGCACAGTCTGCTCTTTTCCATGAGAGAAGGGCCGTGGGAAACTTCCGCATGTAGGTGGAGAAAGGAGAAAGGGTTAAGGAGGCAGAGAGAAATTTCAGAAAGTTAAAAGGAGAAACAAAAAAGCAGAGGCATGACAACCAGGAGAGAAGAGGGTTTTAGAAAGACAGAGACATCAACCGGGAAATAAGCCAGTTGTTCTAGTGGGTCTTTTGCCTAATGAGCAATTCTTTACAGTTCAGCCTCACTGAAAGATTTTTTGTCTAATCCATCTAAAGACATGAATTATACTTCAAGGTAACCTATTTCTTTGCAGATTATACATAAGAATATACATAAGACAAAATTTACCATTTTAACCATTTTTAAGTGTATAATTTAACGGCATTGTACATTAACAATATTGTATAACCATCACCACCATCCATTGCCAGAACTTTTTCATCTTTCCAAACAGAAATGAATGTTTGAAAGTTGAAACCCATTCAACAATTAATTAAACAAAACTCTGTACCCATTCCCCCCTCTCCACAGCCCCTGGGAATCTCTATTCTACTTTTTGTCTCTCTTTATTATTTCAAATAGAAAATTAAGTCAGGGGCCAGCCCCATGGCTGAGTGATTAAGTTTGCATGCTCCACTTTGGTAGCCCAGGGTTTCACCAGTTCAAATCCTGGGCGCAGACATGGCACCACTCATCAGGCGATGCTGAGGCAGCGTCCCACATGCCACAACTACAAAGACCCACAACTAAAATATACAACTATGTACTGGGGGTATTTGGGGAGAAAAAGCAAAAAGAAGGGAAGAGTGGCAACAGTTGTTAGCTCAGGTGCCGATCTTTAAAAACAAAAAGGGAAAATTAAGTCAGATCTGTCCTATGTTTTCTAATTTCTTAACCAAAAATTTGTTAGTGAATGAATTGAAAGACAAAAATACAGAAAAGAGACTAACTAAAGAGATGTTAAAACCCTCAAAAGAGTTCAATTTCAGGCAAATTATATTTAGGTGACTTGATTTTAGGCAAACTGACCCAAAGTTAGAGATATTATTAAATGCTGTGATAATCCAAAAAGATATAGACCATATAAGGCCATTGTATCTGGCAATCTGGAGATTATCAGGACTTTAGAAGAACTAGTTTCCATAAAGTAACGGCAGAGGTAAAAAGCGGGTTGCGAGGAGTAACGAAAGAACCAGAGGTAAGAAAATCTAGACAGGGCCATTTGCGACAACATGGGTGGACTTTGAGGGTATCATGCTGAGCGAAATAAGTCTGACGGACGAAGACAAATACTGCATGATTTCACTTATATGTAGAAGATAAACACACAGATACAAAGAACAGATTGGTGGTTACCGGGGGGAACGGGCATGGGAGAGGGTGAAAGGGGTAAAGGGGCACCTATGTATGGTGACTGATGGAAACTAGACTTTCGGTGGTGAACACGATGTAGTCTACACAAAAGTCAAAATATAATGATGTATACCTGAAATTTATATAACGTTATAAACCAATGTGACCTGAATAAAAAATAAATAAATAAGAAAATGTAGGCAGGGCATGTAGACACATTCTCAAAAAACTTGGTAAAGAGAAGGTAACAGAATGACAGCTTAGAAGGAGTAATAACAGAGTTGAGGGAAGACTTGAGCATGTTTTTAGGGCAAAGAAAAGAAACCAATTAGAAAGATCCAGAGGAGAGAATAATTCATTTGTTCCCACTGAATAAATATTTATTAGCTGCCTCCTATGTACCATCCACTGTGCTTACAACACAGCTCTGAAGGAGATCGATATAGTAAGAAACACACATGTGAGAATCATGCACAACACAGTGTGAGGAGAGCAATAATCGAGGGTGTCCCAAGTTCAGCGGAAGAAGAGGAGATAGTCCCCTCTGCTCCGATGTGGCAGGGAGGGAACTTCCTCCAGGAGACAAGTGGGCATTCCCCAGGCAGGGAAGCAGAGGATATTTCAAGCAGAACAAGCTTGGAAGCCACAAACAGCACCACCCATCTTGGGTCCTGTGCAGTGGGTGAGAGGGAGGCACGTACCAGCGCCCCCGCCAAGAGTCCACCAGAGCAGCTCTCCTGTGATCACAAGGTGGCGTTCCACACACTAATCAGCTAGAAAGAACCAGGTCTGCTGCAGGGAAACTAAAATTAGGTTAGAAAAAGACTGCACAAGACTCCGGGGGCCCTTCCAGCCCTCACACTCTGTGGTTTTGCCACTTTAATTCAAACACCTAATCAGTGTGATGAAATACCCAGCATGTTCCTACAGAATTGACAGAGCTGCGCATCATGGGCAGAGGTGAGGCTGGCCCACAGACATCTGCACGGTGGGATTTGCTCACTCTTAACTGTTTGACCCTTTGTGGGGTTCTGGGGCCTTTCATCTGTGCACATGGGCCATGTCCTCCATTACCTAGAAGATCCCCGAGGCTAGGCCCTTCATCTCCACCCTCACCACATCCCACAGCCTGGCACAGAGTGGACTCAGCTTTGTTCTTTCTCCAGGGCCGACTGGACAGGCAATGAGCCCCCACCCTACCAACCTACATTCTACGATGGTTGGCAGCCTCCAAAACCCTCCAACCAGGTAAGAACAGCCTAGCACAGTGCCCTACTCAAAGCCCTGGTTTCTGTCCTCTCAGTCAAAACCATGGCCACATGACAACTAAGTGATGGTGGGTACCTATATCTGTGTGGTGGGCAGGCAGGGGAGGGGACATGAGGGCGCTGTGTGCGAGTGGGTCTGTGGCCTGGTACCCCAGTTCCCTAGCACCATGCCAGCTGACTCCCTGCTCTGGCTTACTCTGCTCCACCCTGCAGGCACCCTCAGGATACCAGGACTCTCCTTCCCTCCGGTATGCTCTGGGCTTAGGATGGGATGACCCTGGGCAGGGACAGAGGGGCTGACCCTGTGGATCTGTGCATTCTACATCTCAGAGACCCTCTGAGCTCTTTCCAGGCAGACATGTACATCTATGAGCACATCCCTCCCCTACCTTAGGTAAAAAAGCCGTTTTTTTACCCTCCTAGGTGCCAATCCATTTTCACAAAACTACCCACACATGCCTCTGATTTCCCAGTGCTCAGGTATAAAGTGCTAAGGGGAAAGCTCAGATATAGAAAATTCCACAGCTGGAGGAGTCTTCAGAAATCAGCAACATTTCAGGCCCCTCTTGCCTGCAGAAACCCCCACCCCAAGCCCCACCTAACACTGACCTGCCATTAAACTCTGTGGGAACCCAAAAGTCACCACCAGACTCCAGACCGGCTATATCTGGGGCTCTGGGACTGGGTCAGGGGCTCAATCTCTGAAGTCCCATTCTCCAGCCATCCTGACTCTGTCTCTGGGGGGGAAGCCCTAGGTTAGGGAGTACCTCACACTTCACTCAAGAGGAGACATACAACTATGGCCCTCAGCCTGGGGACCCCAACTTCAGGCCCTCCAGCCCCAGACCTGCCAAGCCTGCCCTGCAAATGCAAGTCCTATATGAGTTCGAAGCAAGGAACCCACAGGAACTGACTGTGGTCCAGGGAGAGGTGCTGGAGGTGAGGCATGGACTTGAACCTAGAAAAGGAGATGATGGCTGGTGGGAGCAACAGGCAGCGTGGGGTGGGTGGTCCGGGTATGGGGCTGCTGGGGTGGGTGGATTAGAGAGGGAGAAGGAAAGCGGGGAAGGGCCAGGAGGGAGAAAGCTCTGTGATGTGGGGGGAAGGCTGGCTGGACAGAGGCTCTGATGACTGAGGTAGTAACTCTCGGCAGGTTCTGGACCAGAGCAAGCGGTGGTGGCTGGTGAAGAATGAGACAGGACAGAGTGGCTACATTCCCAGCAACATCCTGGAGCCCCTGCAGTCGGGGACCCCTGGGAGCCAGAGCCAGTTACCCCCTCGGGTACTACCCAGCCTAGACTATCCAGAAGCTATTAGGCCTGAGTCGGAGGTGGGGGCAGGGAGGACTCAGTAGCAAGTGGAGGAAATAGTCCTGGTTTGATTTAATCAGTATTATTGCATGTTTACTGTGTGCCAAGTTTATCATGGGGCCAGAGGGGAGAACAAGCCTTGTCCTTGCCAGATAAACAAACCACGGAGTGAGATAAGTGATTTGATGGGAGCCCAGAGAAGGGACGCAAATGATGGGGGCTGTGGGTGGCTCTGACCCCAGTCCCCCTGATTCTAGGCTCCAATGCTTCGACTTAGCTCAAGGCCTGAGGAGGTCACGGCCTGGCTGCAAGCAGAGAACTTCTCCACCGCGTGAGTTCCTAGGCCCATGGGTGTGTTAGGAGAACCTTTGTAAAGGACTCAGATAATAACCAAGGAAATCCAGAGACCCAGAACATACAACCTAACCTACACGGGACCAGACAGACCCACGGGTGCTGCCCTATTGCAGCACTGCCACTGCTGCATCAGACAGCAGAAGAGGAGGCGTGCCCCTGCCTCCGTTAGAGCACTAAATGAGGAGTCCTGCCACAGGGAAGGCAGCAGGAGCAGAGGGAACTCAGGAAGAACCTCGGCTGCCAGCCACCCTCCTCCACTACAAGATTCTCTTCCAGGCCCTTCTCCCTTCAAACACAGGAGTTCTGAGATTGGTTTAAGCCAATATGCATATCTTACTCCTTCACCTCCAGATACCCTGTTCCATGAATCCTCCTGGAACCCCGGCCTCCAAGCCCAGATAGCCCCTTCTCTACCCAAATACTTAGGTCCAAGACCTTCTGCCCCAATACTGATGGCTTCTGCTGTTTTTGTTCCCAGCACGGTGAAGACACTTGGGCCCCTGACAGGGAGCCAGCTGCTTCACATAAGACCCGGGGAGCTACAGATGCTGTGTCCACAGGAGGCCCCACGGGTCCTGGCACGGCTGGAGGCCGTCAGAAGGATGCTGGGGGTAAGGACACTCTGGGGTCCTGACCCCTACTGGAAATATGGGATGTTCCCTGGACAAGCCAGCAGGCCCAGCCCTGGGGTGGAGGTGAGGTGGCAGTTGCTGGCACAGGTTATCCTTCCAGGGTCTTGACTTCATGTGCTCTGGCATGCCTTGAGGCTCCAACTGATTGTTGACATGAGCTGTGGGGGGGCCTCGCCTGGCACCAGCCTCATCTCAATCCTTTTCTTTCCTCAGATGGGCCCTTAAGCACCAACGCAGACACCTCCAAGACCAAGGCCCTCTCACAAACAAGACGGCGGATCCATCTTCAGAGCCCCAAGAATTCCTCTTTCAGGTCCCCAGTTTGCAGCAAACCCCACACCCCAGCTCACACAGCAAAGAGGATGAGCAAGCCCAGAGGTGGAGACAAATGGTGCCATTCTTGCTGTGTTGAAAGCCAACCCCAGTCACCACCTATTTATTGTATCTTTTCTAAGCCTGGAGCACTTATGCATAGATTTGCCAGGACTGTTTAGTTGCTCTCCTCCAGAATAAAGGCATCTTCAAATTTGTCATGTGCCTCCCTTCCAGATGCTTCTGGGCCTGATGAGGGACAAAGGCAGGAAGGCAGGAAGAGCTGGGACACTGGGCATGAGACAGCAGCAGCCCTGCATCCATCACTGGGCCAGACTGTTGGAACGTGAATGGGAATTCCCACAACAACCTGGAGCTGAGAGTCAGAATTTGAGAATTATGTCCCAAGCTCTCCTTGCTTTCTTTCTAAACAAACTCTAAATGCTCACCATCTTTATCATTCCGAGTACATTTCTCCCAGTATATTCCAAGGCACCCAACATGACTGAGGGCACAACACTTCACAGCAGAGTACCAGGGCTGAGAGCGGTAGGTTTCAATCAGCCACACTAGCTGAATATCCAGAGAAGCACTAACAATCATGTCAGGGGTTCCAGGCTCTAATTAGCAACTTCCTCTTTTAATACAACTTTTATCCCCTCCTGTTGGGTGAGCCAACCTTGAGCTCTCTCCCTAGCCTGTCTCTATAGCAACAGAGCATAGGGAACTTTGGACTGGAAGTCAGATGTCCAGCCATTGGCTGTGTGAACTCTGCTAAATCATTTGATTCTTTGGGTCCCTATTTTCTCAAAGGTTAAGTGAAGAGTTTGGACTGTCCTTGGCTTCTAATATTTAGTATACACATCCTTCTTTAATCTCATAACTGTTATGGACTCCCTTTCCAACATAACAGAGGTTGTACTTTTACTGATTTAGTCAAGGGCCCCTTGAGAGTTCTTAAGTTGTTCTCTTAAGTCTCTCTTAGCTGAATTTGTCCATGACCCTAACATTGTCTGAACCTCAGATTACCCTATTTTTAGATTGCCTGTGTCATTCTCTCAAGTTCCTGGCCTCAACGAATCACCTCTCTCAGCTGGTAACACTGAACAGGAAAGCAAAAATTTTCCCTCACAAGAGAAGAAAGGTGAGACCTTTAGGGCCTATCAAGGGCAAAAGTTAACCAGAAAAGTTAATTTCTTGGGATGGGGAAATGGGGTATTAGCCCACTGCCCTCTGGGGATTTGCAGAGCCAAAGGAGTCCTAAAAGCAGGGAAACTCCCAGGACCAGAAAAGAAGTGTTTTAGCCCAATGCTCCCAGATTTCCCAGTAGACTGAGGTGAGGGGCTGCCTGGACAGCCAAGTCAGTGAAACCAGCACAAGCTGTGCTATTACATAGACCTAGGTTTGGATCCCAGGCCACGCACGAGAACGTGAGCTTATAAAGGCAACCCATCCAATCTCTCCAGGCCTCACTTACCTTCTTCTATAAAATGGACATAAAACCTACTTCATAAAGTTACCGTGAAACTTAAGTGGGAATAAATTAGCTAATATACATGAAATACCTAGACTATTACCTAGCACATCATAGGTGTTCAATAAATGTTAGTTTTATACCTCATTAACTTGTGACTGGCCCTTTGTCAGCTTGGGAAGAGAAAGTAAGGCATTATAAATTCATACCCTACACGTTTGCACTTTTTCCCTTCCGTTTTTTTACCGAAATGTCCTTTTAAAAAGTCCCAACCTTGCTTCAGCCGGATTAATGGGGAAATGTGATTTCCGACACCCAGGCAAGGGGCAGTAGAGGCTCAGCATCCGAAACAGCCATGCTGCGGAGGCCCCGGGCCAGAACCCGTCGGAACAGCTCTGGACTCCCCACCTGCCCGTAAAGCGCACATCACAGCTGGCGATCCCGTGATGGCCAGAGGCTGGGTCAGACCCTCGGGGCTCGTCCACCTCCTCCCGAGCCCCACCCCGCTCGATAACTTTACAGCAAGAATCCTACTCTCCCGGGGTAACCAGCGCCCCACTGCCCGGACGGTTGGCGCTCCTTCGGCCCTGACTGGCACTACTAACGGGCGCAGAGCCCAATTCCTGCCCCGCAGCACGCAGGCCACACTCCTGCCCCCGACTCGCCACGCGGTCTTTCCGCCCCGAACTCCAGTGACTTTAGAAGTCGCGCAGGCGCGTGGGCCTCCGTACGCGCGATGCGAGGGGCGCAGAGGGTGGGGGCGGGGCCAGGGCGCTCACGTTGGCCCCGCCTACCTACGTCGGGTATAAAGCCAACCGGTTCGGAGTCTCCCTCTGCTCTTCGAAGGTGTGGTGTCGGTGTGAGCATGTCGTGCGAGTCGTCTATGGTTCTGGGTTATTGGGATATTCGCGGGGTGAGTGCCGTCTCAACGACTGTGCCGCTCGGTCAGGGAGACGGACGCGGAGCCGCCGGGGGCTCGGTCCGCGGTCATCCAGAGAAGGGGCTCTACCCGGGAGCCACGCCTCCTTCGCCGCGTCGCGCCGGCGGAGCTCCCCGGCCGCGGAGGCCGACCCCGCCCCTGCCTCTGGGATCTGCGGCCCCGCGGAAAGGGTTGAGGACGGCGGGCCGGTCTCGGGGGATGCTTAACGAGCGCCCGGCAGGACGCACCGTCTCCGCGGCCCCGGCCTGGGGGACGTTGGCGGACGGGGGTTGGGGGCCGGCGGAAGCTGCGCAGGCGCTGACCTGGGCCTTTCTCTCCCAGCTGGCGCACGCCATCCGCATGCTCCTGGAGTACACGGATACATCCTATGAGGAGAAACGGTACACGTGCGGGGAAGGTAATGCGGCTCTGCGTCCCGGTGCGCCGGCGCACTAAACCGGGCAGGCCTTTCGACTGTCCCTTCTTGAGGCCTGAGGGTGGCATCACGCCAGAGTCAGGGGGGACTTCTGCCCCAGTCACCTGGAGGTTCTCTGCTGTGTCCTGTGTGGGCAGAGAGGCATCCTTTATCTGGAGCTGGAGATTCTCCCCCTGCCATAGCCCAACCCCGTGTTAACCCTTCACCAAATAGGCCCCAGAGAGTAGATGGTTGAGCTTTTGGGGTCCGGAAGTGTGAGATATTGGAACTAGGTTATTTCATTAGATCGTTCCCTTCTCCTCGGATTAAGGAGGTTGGGTTCCACTTCCTTCTCTCTCTTACAGCTCCTGACTATGATAGAAGCCAATGGCTGGATGCGAAATTCAAGTTAGACCTGGCCTTTCCTAACGTAGGTGGCTTAAGGAGAAGAGTGGGCAGAAGGGAAGGCCTTCAAGTCTATCCTTGCTTCTTTCTTCTGGGGTCTAGAAGGAGCTAGAATAGGTGCTCTTAACCTGGATGGAATAGATAGAATTCAGGACTTGAATTTGGAACTTGAACTTGGTTGGACAAAAAAATTACATTTTCGTTTCCACTAACCACTAACTGAAAGTTAACAGTTCCTTCTGTTGTGAATATAGGCAATAAGTGACGTTAGTTATTAGCCATGTCTGTGACTTTGTTACTAGTAGAAGTTGAGTATTTTCATATTATATTACGTGTGTTGTAGATATTGTAAATAAATATTATTTACAGTCATCATACTTTGAAATTACAGTTATTACATGTTAGTAAATGCGTTAATAGGCACATATTACTCTCTTATAATTTTTTAATGTTTTATAAATTGTGTAAATGTATGTAATTTGCTTTCTGCATTTAAACACCTTATTCTCAGAAAGGATCCATGGCATGCACATACACATACACACAGGTTAAGAACCCCTGTCTAGAATCAGGTGGGGACCTAATTCCTACCTTCTACTTATTTTCTTCTTTCTCCTAACTCAGCATCTTTTCTCTACTGTTTGCTTCCCTGTAAGTCTCGTTTTCCTCAGGAGAGAGAGTCAGGTGGTTCGTTTGACCTGTCCTTTTCCTTCTAGCTGCCCTACCTGATGGATGGGAAGAATAAGATCACCCAGAGCAATGCCATCTTGCGCTACATCGCTCGCAAGCACAATATGTGTGAGTGGGGTGGGGCTAGTGAGGGAGATCCGGCTGGTTGCTCACCTGGGAGTGGATAATGCCAAGAGTGCTTTCTTGTCATTTGGCCTACAGGTGGCGAGACTGAAGAAGAAAAGATTCGAGTGGACATCATGGAGAACCAAATTATGGATTTCCGCATGCAACTGACAAAACTCTGCTACAGCGCTGACCTTGTGAGTTTCCTTAGCAGGCAGGCATCAACAAAAAGGGGCATTTAGGAACCCAAGGGTTAATTCTGCTCCATTCTGCTCCTGCTACCTTCTCACCAACCCAGTCTGTCAGAATAGGAAATAGAACTCTTCTTTTCTGGGGGTTTGTTTGTCACATAACTCTGGTGTTGACCCCTCTTCCTTTCCAAACCCCTCCTTTCCATCCTGCCATCGCTCCCTGAAGGTAGTGAGAGGAAGGCACCTGGGGAAGGGGCCACTAAGTCTCTGTCACTGGCTGGTGCCCTGATTAGCTATAAGGATGACAGCTATTCTCACTCTCTCTCTTTTTCCCTCTCTCCCAGGAAAAACTGAAGCCTCAGTACTTGGAACAGCTACCTGGACAACTGAAACAATTCTCCTTGTTCCTGGGGAAATTCTCATGGTTTGCAGGGGAAAAGGTAGGAAGGAAGGAAAGGAACAGGATACTTTTCTATCTCTGCAGATGTTAATGAACTCCCCACACCTGACTATCTTATTGTCTGTCTAGCTCACCTTTGTGGATTTCCTCACCTATGATGTCTTAGATCAGAACCGTATGTTTGAGCCCAGGTGCCTGGATGAATTTCCAAATCTGAAGGCTTTCATGTGCCGTTTTGAGGTGATGCTCCCTGCTCCTTTGCCTTAGAAAAACACTCACCGGCTCCCCTGAGCCCCAGGGGACCCCATTGTGGTAGATTCTTGCCCAACACTAGATTTTGCCTAAAGGGATCAATGGTCGGATACCTCTAAACCTTTAAGTCTTGGGAAAGGCCTGGGTTCTACACCATGAAGGCCCTGTCTACAAAAAGTGGGGAGTGGGAGCA